AAATCAAATTTGCTTTCAGTGGCTGAACTTCTAGCATTGCAAGAATGGAAAATGCCCCATATTTCACCGTGTTTCACATTCCTCTAATTTAATGGGCTTCAGAAATGTGGTGTGTCTTAGATTCAGTGGCGCCTTAGATTTTTCATTTTCTTTTTTAAAAACTCCTACAAGAGAGGAAGAGGAGAGGGAAGGGCTCTGCTATCCTCCACCATTTTGTCCTCAACCTTAGCTAGGCAGCTGTTTATTGTCTGGTGGAGGGTTAGATTCAGTGGCGCCTTAGATTTTTCATTTTCTTTTTTAAAAACTCCTACAAGAGAGGAAGAGGAGAGGGAAGGGCTCTGCTATCCTCCACCATTTTGTCCTCAACCTTAGCTAGGCAGCTGTTTATTGTCTGGTGGAGGGTCCATCCCGACAGGCCCATACCCTGGGACCTGTCTCATTTTTTACTGGAGGCATCCTAATGACATCAGAATAAACCAAATTAAACCAGAATAAACCAAATAACCAAGTTATTCCAAATTAATTAGATATCCCAATAGATCCAGGCCTTCGATACCTGGCCTATGGGGAATCACTTACTTACTTACTTAGGCAATCCCTCGTTTTCCGAGAGAGGATTGTCTTCCAGTATTCTTGTGGGTCCGTATGTGGCTGTGGAGCCCTATTCTTGCTCTGCATCTTCTTCCGCAGTGAGGGCATTGGTTTCCAGGTGGAAGGCGGTCTCGGTCGGGGTTGGCTTGACGCGCCTTCCTCTTGGCACGCTTCTCCCTTTCGCCCTCCATTCGTGCCTCTTCAAATTCTGCAGCACTGCTGGTCACAGCTGACCTCCAGCTGGAGCGCTCAAGGGCCAGGGCTTCCCAGTTCTCAGTGTCTATGCCAGAGTTTTTAAGGTTGGCTTTGAGCCCATCTTTCAATCTCTTTTCCTGCCCACCAACATTCTGTTTTCCGTTCTTGAGTTCGGAGTAGAGCAACTGCTTTGGGAGACGGTGGTCGGGCATCCGGACAACGTGGCTGGTCCAGCGGAGTTGATGGCAGAGGACCATCGCTTCAATGCTGGTGGTCTTTGCTTCTTCCAGCATGCTGACATTTGTCCGCTTGTCTTCCCAAGAGATTTGCAGGATTTTCCGGAGGCAGCAGCTGATGGAATCGTTCCAGGAGTTGCATGTGACGTCTGTAGACAGTCCACGTCTCACAGGCATATAGCAGGGTTGGGAGGACAATAGCTCTATAAACAAGCACCTTGGTATCCCTACGGATGTCCCGGTCCTCAAACACTCTCTGCTTCATTCGGAAAAACGCTGCGCTCACAGAGCTCAAGCGGTGTTGTATTTCAGTGTCGATGTTGACTTTGGTGGAGAGGTGGCTGCCAAGGTAGCGGAAATGATCAACATTTTCTAATGTTACACTATTAAGCTGTATCACTGGCATTGGAGAGGGGTTGCTGGTGACTGCTGGAACAGCACTTTGGTTTTCTCGATGTTTAATGACAGGCCGAGCTTCACATATGCTTCTGCGAAGGTGTTTAGAGTGGCTTGTAGGTCTTCTTCTGAATGTGCACCGACGACGTTGTCATCAGCATACTGGAGTTCTATAACAGATGTTGTTGTAACCTTGGTTTTGGCTTTCAGTCTGCTGAGGTTAAATAGCTTGCCATCTGTCCGATAGATGATTTCCACTCTGGTGGGAAGCTTCCCATCAACAAGGTGAAGTATCATAGCGATGAAGATGGAGAATAGAGTTGGGGCAATAACACATCCCTGTTTGACACCTGATTCTACCTTAAATGGGTCACTTCTGGGTAGTCCTGGGACTACCCAGAGGTGGGTCCCCATTTTCATCCCAAAGGTCCAAGATGGCGCCCATCCACTCCCCCCAAGCCCCAAATTTACCCTTCAAATTTAAGTAAAATGTACCTCACCACCATAACTTTCCTCCTTGCGGCAGGAGGGTGCAAGGAAATTATGCACCAGGAGACGGGGAGGGGGAGATTTTCCTCCTCAACCCCTCTGCCTATATATGTTAAACTTAATTTTAGAAGTACATTGAGAGATTTTGCGGTGGATACATGCCATCCCAATTTTAATCGAGAAGGCATGTAGACACCCCCACCCCACCCCAAATGTCTGTTTTTCTGGCAGGGGTGGGGGTTGTGACGGAAATCCATTTTTGAAAATCTGCTTTGCATGGATTTTGGTGCTGTCTGGAAGCGCCCTGAGCTAAGTGCCATTTCCTGCTTCCACTGCCTCCCTAACAGGCCCATAGAATTAGTAAAATAGCATCTTTCACCCCACACGAAAGTCTGTACCACAAAGCCATACTGAAACAAAAAAGGTATTGTGCATGCAGAGGAAACCTTATGAAATCTTCCAAGAAAATTGTTTTTCCCACCTTAAAATTGAAGCTTCAGAAACAGGGTGCACTTTACATTCAACAGCATCTTAGATTTTGTGAAATTCTATATATCTTGCCCTACCACAGTTTGTTGTTGTTCATTCGTTCAGTCGTCTCCGACTCTTCGTGACCTCATGGACCAGCCCACGCCAGAGCTCCCTGTCAGCCGTTACCACCCCCAGCTCCCTCAAGGTCAGTCCAGTCACTTCAAGGATGCCATCCATCCATCTTGCCCTTGGTCGGCCCCTCTTCCTTTTTCCTTCCACTTTCCCCAGCATCATTGTCTTCTCTAGGCTTTCCTGTCTCCTCATGATGTGGCCAAAGTACTTCAACTTTGTCTCTAGTATCCTTCCCTCCAATGAGCAGTCGGGCTTTATTTCCTGGAGTATGGACTGGTTGGATCTTCTCGCAGTCCAAGGCACTCTCAGAACTTTCCTCCAACACCACAGCTCAAAAGCATCGATCTTCCTTCGCTCAGCCTTCCCTAAGGTCCAGCTCTCACATCCGTAGGTTACTAAAGGGAATACCATGGCTTTGACTAGGCGGATCTTTGTTGCCAGTGTGATGTCTCTACTCTTTACTATTTTATCGAGATTGGACATTGCTCTCCTCCCAAGAAGTAAGCATCTTTTACCACAGTTAAAATGGTTAATTAAACTATCAAGCTAAAATTAAATCCAGTTAAAACAAAACCCATTAAAAACAGTAAATAAAAACCCAGAACACTGCATTACACTATGTAACATGATTTTTTCTTCCTGGGTTATAAATGTCATTTTCTAATTGGTTCTGTCATATAAACATGGAAAATGTTAATTAAACTGCAGCATATTTTGCTGTAGCTTTTCAATGAATATCTGTGAGAGTCTCAACCAATGCAATATAGTTTGTGGCAGCCACAAAAACAAGGCTTCTGGAGTATAACAACTACGTTTAAAGTAAACGCTGAACAACTAAACAGGAAATAACATTTTCAAACCAGGAAGAGATTTTTTTTTCAAATTTAGTTACATAGTGTAATAGAAAGCGGCCTCCCTATATCTCAAAGTAGGTTAATATGGGAGAATATAACCTGGACTTGAGTCCTACAGGGTACTTTGAATTGTGCCTGGAATAAACGTTCACACAGTGCAGCTCTTACAACTCTAACAGACACATTTTGCAATCTGGCGGAAGCTTTTTGGACCAGTAGTCTTCCGAACCTCTGCTTTCATAAAGATAGGACCTTATGCAGTTTCCCAGGCAACAAGGATATATAAGACTGTAGGAGAAATCTCACCCCCTTTGCAATAAGCCTTTCTCATCTGGACCATGAAACAGAAGGGTAACCTGCCACTTTTTCACTCACTACAATATGTTCAGGGTTTGCCTTCCCTTTTTTTCTGAGGCCCAGTGACTGTGACTTGCCCAGGGGCACAAAGCAGGCTTCTTCCAGAAATACCTGGTCGCTCTAAATGAGTTCAAGTCCCCAGGGCCAGATCAACTACACCCAAGAGTATTGAAGGAACTCCCCCCTGGGCACACAGAAGACTTGGAAGGCGCTGAACAGACTGCGCTCTGGCACCACGAGATGCAAAGCCAACCTCAAGAAATGGGGCTACAAAGTGGAATCCACGACATGCCAGTGTGGAGAAGAGCAAACCACTGACCACCTGCTGCAATGCAACCTGAGCCCTGCTACATGCACAATGGAGGACCTTCTTGCGGCAACACCAGAGGCACTCCAAGTAGCTGGGGGGGGGGGGGGGGGGGCTCAGGGGGCTTCAGCCCCCCCCCCCAAATTCTCATGGTGGTTCGCGAAAAGGCCTTACTGGTGCATTATTTAAACTGTTATGTTTATTCATATCATGATCTGATCACCATACTCAATATATCCCATATGCATGGGGGTATTGGGGTAACGATACAAAAGGTTTGCTAGGGTAGACCCTCTTTCACTCAGACCCCCCCCCCCCCCCCCCCCGAATCAAAATCCTGGCTACGGGCCTGACCAGAGGCACTCCAAGTGGCTAGATACTGGTCAAAGGACATTTAATTAACTACCAAGCTTGCAAATTTTGTTTTGTGTCTGTTTGTTTGTTTTGTTCTGTTAGAAATATAATACAATTGTCTGGTTGCCCTTGACATGATAAATAAATAAATAAATAAATAGCCATTGATTGAGGTTCTGGGTTTGAGCCTGCCACTTTTGGACTCTCACTTGCTGAGGTATTCCAGAGAGTGTCTCTATAGATCTTAGAAAACTCTGCCATATAAAATCCAGATTATCTGCCTTGAACAGGATTCTACGGAGGTGTAGACTCATGCAATCCAGTTCAAAGCAGACAATCAGCCTTTAATACAGCAGTGTAGGGGTGGGGGTGGGGAGAAGGACCCGAATATGTCCTGACAACAATACAGTTTGGAAAGCCACAGGATTGATTGGAGGTGGCTCCCAAGCTTGGGTCTTCCAGGTGTGGTGGACTTCATTTCCCAGAATGCCTGCTTCTCGGGCAACCTGGCTGAGGCTTCTGGTAAATGGAGTCCTGAACACTGGCAGTCTGTGCGAGCCCCCCCTACACACACACACACACACCTCCAGCAGGTCTTTTAGAAAGGGTGCTCTCAGACCCCACAGCCTTCCGGGGAAGCAGGGAGACATCTCCCCTTCGGGCAAACGAGTGGGGCGCCTCCCTCCCATTCATTTCCCTCTTTTCCCGACAAAGGGAAGCCGGGAGGGCTGGGCCAAGCGAGAGAGGAGCGAAGGATCCCCGAAGGGTGCTTTCTTTCCCTCCTCCTCCTCCTCCTGCTCCTCCTGGGCGGCCCCTCCCTCGGCGGGGCGTGTGAATCTGCCGCGCGGCGCCGCTGCTCCGGAGGGGAGGGCTCGCCTTTTGATGGATTGAACTGCAGTCGCGCCGCTGGAGGCTGAGCAAGCCGGGCGGAGGCGGCGGAGGCCCACGCAGGCGAGGCTGGGGCGGCAAGAGAAGCCCCCAAGGAAGGGGGACAACAGAGAGAGAGAGAGAGAGGTCTCCGCTGCCGCCGTCGCCGCCCCCGCGCAGAGCCATGGGGGCGATCCCGGTGAGCATCAGCCCAGGCGAGCCCTGATGAGCCCCCCTGCGCCTCCCCCATGGTCCAAGCGAGGCTCTTTCTCGCAGGACCGGCCCGCGGATCCCTGGCTTTGTTCTGCGGCTCTTCCCAGCACTTCAGGTCGCCCAGCTCAGTCTCCATCGGGGCCAGCTTGCCTTCCTGCGGGAGATCCGGCTCATTCCTGCCCGCCTGGCGTGCATCGAGGAGGGCTGGCCTTTGAGCTGGGGGTGGTGTGAAATCGGGCCCAGAGGCGAGGAAGGAAAGGCTGCTGGCTCAGGATCTTTCTCCAGGCGGAGGTGGATCCCAGCCAAGGCGATCAATCCGGAGATCTCTGCCTCCCTTTGGATCAAACACCATGGGCAACATCTCCTCCAACATCTCAGCCTTCCAGTCGCTGCACATCGTCATGCTGGGCTTGGACTCGGCTGGCAAGACCACCGTGCTCTACCGGCTCAAGTTCAACGAGTTTGTCAACACGGTGCCCACCATCGGCTTCAACACGGAGAAGATCAAGCTGAGTAACGGCACGGCCAAGGGCATTTCCTGCCACTTCTGGGACGTGGGCGGGCAGGAGAAGCTGCGGCCCCTCTGGAAGTCCTACAGCCGCTGCACCGACGGCATCATCTATGTGGTGGACTCGGTGGACGTGGACCGGCTGGAGGAGGCCAAGACCGAGCTCCACAAGGTCACCAAGTTCGCCGAGAACCAAGGCACCCCCTTGCTGGTCATTGCCAATAAGCAGGACCTGCCCAAGTCGCTGCCGGTGACCGAGATCGAGAAGCAGCTGGCCTTGCCAGAGCTGAGCCCGTCCACTACCTACCACGTCCAGCCGGCCTGCGCCATCATTGGGGAAGGGCTCACCGAGGGCATGGACAAACTCTACGAGATGATCCTCAAGCGCCGGAAGTCCTTGAAGCAGAAGAAGAAGCGGTAGAGGAGAGGCCAAAGGAGGCCGTGGTGTCCCTTGACAGACCAGCATCACCAGTGTTGAAGGCAGGCCTGTGGTGTTGGTCACATCCCATCCTTTGACATTCCTGCTTCTTGGCAGGGGGTTGGACTGGATGGCCCATGAGGTCTCTTCCAACTCTTTGATTCTATGATTCTATGACATCTTGGTTTTAAGAGATTGGGCACAAATGTGGTGCTGGCTGGTTCCTGGGATGCAGATCAGATCTGTGTATGTCAGCACCAGACCTCCCGCTCCCCAGGAGACTACTCTGAGCCAATATAATAATCGGAGAACCACTTTGGAAATGTTCTAGCAGGACTAGAAGATGGGCACATCAGACAGCTGCTTGTGCCTGTAAACTACAGATCACACGAGAGGCTTACCATTAGACATCTTTTTTTTCTTTTCATTCCGCTGGAAGGTTTCTTTTTTTAATACACAAATATATATATAATAAATATATATATATATATAAATATAAAACAGGAGAAACTAATTTGGGAGACGAAAAGTCACGACGCTTGGGATGAACAGGGCAGGACCCTGTTTCGTGTGGATTAAGGCTTATACTCCCATCTCAGGATCTTCGTACAAGGTGACGATGCGTGCATGAAGAACTAGACTTAAGAGATATTGCTTGATGCCGGGGAAGGAATGGTGGGGGGTGTGCCGAATTGATGCATATAAAAAATATGTGTATATTGCTTCATGGTGGCTCTTGGAAGCCAACATTTGTGGAAACTGTTTTGGGATTTTTTTTTCCGGTTGTTACACCAGACCTCTCCAAAGTGTTTCTGGTCTGGCCTTGTGTGGGGTCAATGAAATGTGTGAAACTGGCAAAAAAAAAATGATGCAATACGACTTCCTGGAGTGATTTATGTGTTTTGCAAGAATGTATTCCCTGTCCTTTTCAGTGGGGTGTGAGGATGTTCGCACAGCCGGGTGCCCAAGTGACCTTTGCTCTCCTATGGAGGAGGCCTCTTTGGGCAGGCTAGCTGTGTGGCACCTTTAATTCCTCTATATTGGAAGAGAATACTGTATAATGTTGGCATATTGATGCACTTGAATTGTAAAATCAGAGTTGGCTGGAATCTTTCAGCTGCTATTTGGTGCTGCATTCTAAGCATTATCCTTGGGAGGGAAATGTGGTTCTGGTTTTCATGACCAATCTACACAATGTAGCAATAACCAGGGAAGTGTTCTTGTTTAATTATAGCTTCCTACTGTAATGTTCAAACACAGGCATACTTTGTGGAAACTAATCAGATTGAGATAACCTGCCTCATATTTCCATTTAATTTCTGTGTTGTTATGATAGTTTTCATGGACCAGAGGCCCAGCTCACTGCAGCAGTCTGACAGCCGTGGGGAGAAGCCCAGCCAGTGTTTGGGCTGACAAGGATGTAAGGCCAAATACGTATTCCAGCCGCCCCCCCCCCCTCCGGTGGCACAGTAGGTTAAACCCCTGTGCCGGCAGGACAGGTTGCAGGTTTGAATCCAGGAAGAGCGCGGATGAGCTCCCTCTATCAGCTCCAGCTTCTCATGCGGGGACATGAGAGAAGCCTCCCACATAGATGATAAAACATCAAAACATCTGGGCGTTGCCTGGGCAACGTCCTTGCAGACGGCCAATTCTCTCACACCAGAAGTGACTTGCAGTTTCTCAAGTCGCTCCTGACATGAGAAAAAAAAAGTAGTCCAGCGAAAATGAATAATTTTTGTTTCTTCCCCCCAACTTTCATCTCCTCAAAGCTGCCATTTGGGATTGAGGTTGTGTGTTTTCTTTTCAAACGGATGCCTCAGAGTAGTGGCCGTCAAGCATTAAAAACTAATAGTTGTCCCAGCCCCATTTTTAATTCACCTTGCATTGGTAATACTAATATTTCCAAATGTTCCAGCACAGTACTGTGCTATACTTGTCTATTTAGCAGTAAGCCAAATTGCATTCAATGGGATTTCTTGCCACCTAAGCCTAAGACTGCAGTCTTAAATATGTGCTTACCTAGCAGTAAGCTCCATGGGGTTTAATGGGAATGAAGGCCCTTCCGCACAGCCCAATATCCCAGAATATCAAGGCAAGCATTATCTGAATGTGGCATTATCAGAGTGTAAGGCATTATCTGTGTGTGGACTCAGATAACCCAGTTCAAAGCAGATATTGTGGGATTTTCTGCCTCGATATTCTGTGATATAGGGCTGTGTGGAAGGACCCTCAGTTGTGTGAGTAGGATTGGTTGTAATCTATACATACCTCTGTAGAAACAAAGTTGTATTTAATTCAATGGCATTTATTTTTGGGTAAGGATCGGGTTATAAAGCAACAATCCTGTTCATGTATACTTTGGATTTGGGTTTCAATGAATATGCAGAGGAGTGGGCTCTATGACCAACATTGGATTGCTAGGGAAAAGCTGGGATACAAATGAAATAATTAATTTTTCAAAATCATGTGGATATACAGTGGGCCCTTGTTTTTTTCCTGGAGTTTGATTCCAGAACCCTCAATGGATGCCAGAATCCATGCATGTTCATGTCCCATTACTTAGGCGATGCCTCGTTGGACGAGTAGGATAGTCTTCCAGGGTCAGTATTCTTGTGGATCCGTAGGTGACTATTCTTAACCTGCATCTTCTCCCATAGTGAGGGCATTGGTTTCCAGGTGGAAGGCGGTCTTGGTCGGGGTTGGCTTGACACACCTTCCTCTTGGCACGTTTCTCTCTTTCACCCTCCATTCGTGCCTCTTCAAATTCTGCAGCACTGCTGGTCACAGCTGACCTCCAGCTGGAGCACTGAAGGGCCAGGGCTTCCCAGTTCCATTAGATACAATGGAGTAATAAGATGGTATCCCTTATGTAAAATGGCAAAATCAAGATTTGCCTTTAAGACTTTTTCAAAAATATTTCCAAGCCAGAAATAGTGACTGGTGGGATCCATGGATGTAGAATCTGTAGATACAGAAGGCCATTTACACTAAGTACACAAGGAGTATGATTTTGCACAAGATAAAACTATAAGGAAGAGAACTGGAAACTTTTTCCAGAAGAGTTGTAATAATTTGACTGACAAACTCTTCTGTAGGAAAGAAAGTACACATCCCACGTGAAAATACCCCATCTATGGATGATCTGATCCTGCTTCACACAAATCTATTTGGATTGTCAGCTTCCTGCTTAGAAAATCCGAAACAAAGAGAATACTGGCATAAATAGATACAGGAAGGTAGCCTCAGTGGCTAAAAGAAACATATTGTCACTAGATGTCCCATTAGTGTTGCTTGGCAAAATTTCGCAGAAGCCAACAAAACTGAGCAGCAACTGGGATGGCTCTCTATGGTACAGGAGAACGGAGGAGCATTTTGATGGTTGCAGTCAATTCTGTTGCAGCAGGGGCTGAGGACATAGTGAGGGCTGCAAACAGATGAGTGGCATCCATTAGCTGAATTCTCATTCCTCCCTCTGTTTCCTCATGAGATGTGTGGGGCAGCGGAAATGGCTGCTGTTCAAGACATGGGGCAGATCTACACTGACCACTTAACATGGATTGAAAGCATCTAAAACACAGCATCTAAATGATACATGGTGCAAATGCATGCAGGTCTTAAACTGGGATAAGCAAAATTGGGGGGGGGGGTACTCTGAAGTAGGGCCTGTAATGCATGTCAGTAAAAACCACATTGCGTGGCAAGACTAATTAAAGGACAGGAGCTCCAAAAATCTGTGCATCGAAGTGAAGGAACTGGAGGGGGAAAACCCATATCCACCAGAAATCCTGGAACTAGATCAGAGCCAACCTCTGATGGCTATAAGCACCAACCAGGCCTTCACCCAGTTTCTATACTTTATATGTAATCAGGTGCATGTTTGCTTTGTTTCAGCCTCTGCCGTTTCCATCCCACAGTACCGGGTCAGTGTAGATCAGTGGTTCTCAACCTGTGGGTCCCCAGGTATTTTGGCCTACAACTCCCAGAAATCCCAGTCTGCTTACCAGCTGTTGGGATTTCTGGGAGTTGAAGGTCAAAACATCTGGGGACCCACAGGTTGAGAACCACTGGTGTAGATGTATGTGCTCATGGACCATAACCTGTGAGAGTCTAAAGTCAGTGTCTGCAGCCCTTTCAAGACAGCAAAGAGGCTGATACCAAAGGGCTTTGAAAATTTATGAAGTGGAATTAATCAGGTCCAGGCTTTTTTATTTACTTTGCCCACATCCCTGTGTGCTTTGGTTACACTCTGGCCCAATGAAGATTTCTGTGGCACTTAAACCTTATGCAGTATTTGGTGGCCTTCCAATTGGCCTATTAAATGTACTACACTAGTGTGAGATTTAGAGCCTTTTCTTCAAAAACTTGGCCAAGAGATTGGGGGGTGGGGGGGGCATATTTCCACACCATGGATTTTCCCCTTTGGCAATAAGCTTTCCAATCAATTTTTAAGAATCCATTATTAAAAATTAATAAGATTTGCCACTATTTTTTCTGGTAGGGCACCTTATTCTTTTTGTGACTGTATATTGGATAAATATCTAAAAAGAAATCTAGTTGTTATTTCCCCTTCTCCATTGCTGCAGTTCCATGCTAGTAGAAGCCTTTCCTCCTACCTGTTTGCCTGGCACACAGTTGTTAAGGACATAGAAGCCCTGCCATTAACTTGGCTCTGTTTGCAAGCAAACATTATTTACATGCTTAGGGAAATTCTAGTAGCATGAAATGGAAACTTGTTCATCGATCTACAGAGCTGGTTGGTCCCATTGTTTCAAACCACCTCAGCGTTGTTTTTGTTTTAATTATTATTCTTTATTTCCACTCATGACTTTCTCTCTCAAGCACATTTGTTACCTCATAACTAAGAGAGACGGAGAGAAAATATATTTATTTTGAAACAATGCCAAATGCTGTAATTTAAAAAAATTAGGAATTAGAAAATGCTGTTTCAATTATACTGAGTATGCTGTGAAGCTTATTTATGTACATTTGGGTTCTCTACCCTGTTTAGGAATTAGAAAATGCTGTTCAGCTCAGATTCAGTACAGCTGTAAAGCTAATGTACATTTGGATTCTTTTGTCACTGACAGCAGCTGGTTTCTTGCAAACATACATCACAATGGTTAAATGAATTTATCACCTGCTGTGCTTCTGCATAGGTGCTAAGTGACTGGAAATTAGGTCCTTATGGGCCCCCAGTTGAGCAATACACAAAATGCGGAATGTGCCACTCTCCCAAGTGGAGCAACTTAAGATACTACAGGAACATTGAAGCAGTGTTCTTCATCCAGCAGAATGAAGAAGAAAGGAAATGGGTCAATAATAAACAAAGCTTGGACTTCTGCTTCTTCTTTTTTAAAAAAATGGAATAATTCTGAAAGATGTTGCTCATTTTCTAGAACATATGTGGGAGCTGGCCATTTCACTTACAGTAAGGCTTTCAAACTACTTTCTCTTAACTCAAATAAGTAAGTGGAAAGTGGGATGCCAAAGCAATGCTGTGGCCTTACTGCTCACAGCTACTTACAGTTAACCATCTTAGAGCCTTTACTTGGTTCAAGAAGCAGACCTGACCCAGCCTTTTCATCAATAAATTATCGGATCAAAGGAGAAAGCTTGGAGAAAGAGAATACCTAAAAATATGAAACTAAAAGCTCTCTATATGTCCCTCTCTTGAGATCGTATGCTTTCTAGTCCCAGATATTGCCCTGTTAGCATTTGAAGAAATCTTAACAGATGTTGTAACATGCCAGTCACATTTCGGACTTTTTCTTCACAACACGCCAATTAAAGTATTCTCTAGCAGACCCTGCTCTGACTTGTGTTATTTCTGGTCATACCAGCTTCGGTTTGTCTGTTTTTATGATACAGGGTGCAGCAGCATAACTTCCTTTTTTCAAAACTTAATAAAACCCATTGTATGAATCAGAAAAAAAATTATAATGTATGCGCATACCTAAAGTTTTGTTTTACATAGTTTTGAAGATCAAATTAGGTAGGTGACGTCCCCCATTCTCCATACACTGAGTAACTGATTTCTGGCGTTTGTCATGACTCTTGCCAACATAGCAGGCGTTATGTTGGCAATTTCTTCCTGGATGTTGGTCTTCAAATTTTGTAGGGTCCTTGGACGGTTCACATAATCACAGGATTTCAAAAAAACCCATAGAAAAAAATCACAAGGGTCCAAATCTGGAGAGGGGGCCAGCCACTCCAAATCCGCTCGAAAAGTAGGCCTCAACAGCAAAAGCACGCTCCTCACTGTTCCAACGCATGATGGCAACTGAACTGTGTCAGGACAAAACTTTATACTCCCGCCTCTCCGCTACATCTTCAACCGACTGAATGGCACGTATTTTAAAAAAGGAAGTTATGCTGCTGCACCCTGTGTAACACTACATTGGGATATCATTTTATGTCTTTGGGTAAAAATGGATGGGGAGAGAGGCGGGGAGCAGTCCTCGCGACTAAAATGATCAAGGGTCTGGAGAACAAGCCCTATGAGGAGCGGCTTAAGGAGCTGGGCATGTTTAGCCTGAAGAAGAGAAGGCTGAGAGGAGATATGATAGCCATTTATAAATATGTGAGAGGAAGTCACAGGGAGGAAGCTTGTTTTCTGCTTCCCTGGAGACTAGGATGCGGCTTCAAACTACAAGAAAGGAGATTCCATCTGAACATGAGGAAGAACTTCCTGACTGTGAGAGCCGTTCAGCAGTGGAACTCTCTGCCATGGAGTGTGGTGGAGGCTCCTTCTTTGGAAGCTTTTAAACAGAGGTTAGATGGCCATCTGTCAGGGGTGCTTTGAATGCAATATTCCTGCTTCTTGGCAGGGGGTTGGACTGGATGGCCCATGAGGTCTCTTCCAACTCTATGATTCTATGATTCACAATGAAAAGCTTTTGGTTCAAGTCAGGACTTCTCAAAATATAGAAAAGAGACACTGTATCTGCAGAGATCACTTGTATCTGTTTGGGAATTCCAGTTCTTAAATGGTATCCATGAAGCGTTTTGATGAAAGTTCAAGTCACCCCTTGGAAAGAAAACTGCATTTCAGAGATGCTTCACAAGTGGCAACATTTCTGCACAAGGTACATCCCATGTGCAGCTTTTTTCCAGACAGGTCTTTGCAAAACATGAAAAAGTTAACTTATTCTCCACAAAGAACAAAGAGGATGAGCAGGAAAGCCTCCCCTTCAGTGGCATTTCCAACACTTATCCATTCAGTAAAGTGCATGAGCAGAAAGCCGTTTTTGAAAGCCGATAATCAGGTTAGGTGTTTGCTGTTATGAATCTACGATTTGTTGCTGCAAAATCAGCCCTGAGTTTTTTCCTTGGGTAGATTTCAAGGCAGTGGTTCAGTCTCCATTAGAATTTGTAAAGAGGAGCTAAGTACACTTCAAAATACATTTCAATATGCACATGATCTATGAGGCTCTGATGTCATTTTTTCAAAGACGAAAATTGGGGAGGGAACCACTTTGAAAAAAGAAGTAGGAAGAGAGAGACAGAACCTTTTCCCCACCTGCAGTTGGAAATCCCACTGTGAGGTTGGCATGTTGATGTTTCTGAATGTGTTTTTAACATGAACATTTTCCCTAATCTCTGCTTAATTGGAGGGGTGACTCCATGGTGAAAGCATCAAGAGCAAAACACAGTGCAGTGAAAATGGGTATGTCTCCACACATCTCTGTTTCACCCTCTGATAAATGTGAATGTAAACCCAGGGAGAATTGTTATCTCTGGTATGCATGCAGGGATGGGAGGAGAAAGGACCGAACTGTGAATGACTAGAACTGATCAGCAAGAAGGTGTCATTAAAACTTCCCAGGATTCTTTGTTCAGAAAAGCCATGAGATACACCCAGAGGCAGCCCTAGGTAATTTTCAATGGTAAGCAAACAGTATTTTGGTGCCCCCCCCCCCCAACCAATCACTGATATATATTTTCTGTTCTTCATGGGAGTTCTGTGTGCCATATTTGGTTCAGTTCCATCATTGGTGTAGTTCAGAATGTTCTTTGATTGTAGGTGAACTATACATCCCAGTAACTACAACTCACATATGTCAAGGTCTATTTTCCCCCAAGAGTGCTTCAAGAGCGCCCCCGGGCAAAATCAAGTATACTGCGAATGCTTACTTTGCATAATGGCTTGAGCCGCCCCTGGAGTGGATACACCACAGTCTATAAGCAGAGCAAGTAGCCATGTTTCATCTCGATCCAGAGAGATCTTTTCTTTAAAGGAAATGCTGGGTATCTTTTATATGTGGAGTTTTCTCCTCCCGGGCAGCTGTTTCTCTTGAAACAGGAACCTGGCAATAGGAAAGGGAGTCACACTGATTTTTGATGTTGTGAAAAGATAACATTATTTAGTATTATTATATACCACCAGGGAAAGGGAAGAGTATCAAAAGAGAATTAAAGCAGTTTGACACTATTTTCACTGCTATGGCTCAGGGCTGTGAAATCCTAGGGGTTGTAGTTTGGTGATACACCAACACTCTTTGTCCAAGAAGGCTAAAAACTTTGTAATATCATAGCATTGAGCCTGGGCAGTTAAAGTGGTGCCAAACTGCTTTAATTCTCTTGCAAAACTCTTCTCCTCTGGTTATATATAATAATAATACGAGCGGTATTTTTTAAGTAAGGTCCGTTTTGTTGTAGACACTAGTAGTTCGCGCGCATACCGCAACGAGCACATGCGTCGTGTACCGGCATGCCTCGGGAACAACTGTGCTCAGTTTCCGCTCTGTAGCTAACCTGTACAGTTCTGTTCTGTGCTTTAAAAATGTTTAAGACTATCAACTCACCCACCGCATGTGATACGGTTTTGTCAGCAAGGAACCTGAGCGGTCCTCATCATGGACGTTGTCACGGCCATCTTTGAATTGTCGTACCCACTTACGCACTTTGCTTTCACTCATAACAGTATCACCGTACACTTCACAAATCTGTCGATGAATTTCTGCAGCAGGCAGGTTCCTTGCTGACAAAAAACGTATCACTGAGCGAACCTCACATGCGGAGAGAATTGCACCTTGGGGGACCCCACATAGGAGGGGGGATCTATCGGAAACTTGATCCATGTACTCCACGCGTTGACTCTGGTTCCGGAGAAATGAGTTGAACCAATTGAGGGCCTGACCACAAACTCCGGACATGGCAAGACGGTGAATCATTAGATCGTAGTCGACGGTGTCAAACGCTGCGGTAAGGTCAAGAAGTACCAGTAGCGCGGATCCACTGTTGTCAGACTGGCGACGGAGTTCATCCGTAATGGCAACCAGGACTGTCTCCGTCCCATGACCCGGACGAAAATCTGACTGGAAAGGGTCCAGGCCAGCTGTGTCATCCAGGAATTGCTGCAGTTGTCCCAGTACAGCCCGCTCTATCACCTTGCCTAAGAATGGCAGATTAGAAACAGGACGGTAATTGGCAAGGGTCATAGGATCCAAGCTAGGTTTCTTTAACAAGAGACGAACCCTTGCCTCTTTTAGGTTGTCCGGAAAAAACCCTGTTCAAGAGAGCCATTGATGATACTGCACAGTGGATCGAGCAGACCTTCCAAGCAGTTCTTGATCAGCCAAGAGGGGCACGGATCAAGAAAACAGATGGTTGATTTTGCAGTAGCCAGAATTCTGGTGACATCCTCCGTGTGAAGCGGTGTAAATTGATCGAAGATAGGCCCGCTAAGTGGCCACAAGGTCTCCAGCTCACTCAAAGTGTCGACTGTGGGAGGGAGTTCCTGCCAAAGCATGGTAATTTTGTTAGTGAAAAATTCCTGGAATGCCAAAGCTGTAATAGGCATAGTTGTTGGGTTCTGGACTAAAGGAGCCAGACTAATCAAGGCACGAACAATTTTGAATAACTGTGCTGGGCGCGATCTAGCAGAGGCTATTAAGGAAGAATTATAAGATTTTTTAGCATCCTTGACGGCTGACTCATAGGACTTGCGAAAAGCCTTAAAAGTAGACATTGACACTTCGTCAGGTTTCCGTCTCCACCGATGTTCCAGCCGCTTTCGTGCTTGCTTCATCATCCGTAGCTCATTAGTGTACTAAGGGGAGCGATTCCGGCGAGGGCGGAAGTGGCGCATGGGAGCAATCTCATCCAAGGCAGCCAACAGACTGGTGTTCCAGTTGTTGACTTGCTCATTGAGAGTGACGCACACATTTCCAAGGCCCTTAAGGGCATTCAAGAACCTGGCAGGTTCCATGAGTCTTCTGGAGCGGGCAAGGATTGGTTTGACAGCTTGGGAAGGAGGAGATGGAGTCTCAATCCGGACCTTCAGGGCAGCGTGGTCAGACCAGGGGACATCAATTACCGCCGATAAAGATGTCTGTACTCCAATATGGAAAATCAGGTCTAAAGTATGACCGGCCCGATGAGTGGGGCGAGTCTTGATTAATGAGAGCCCCAAAGTTTCCAAGGTTAGTACTAGGTCCTTAGTTACTGATGAGGATAATGGTGCCTCGGCATGTACATTGAAGTCACCCAGGACAGTAAGTCTGGGGAACCTCAGGGCCCAGTCCACAACAAGATCTAATAGCTTAAGCAAACTCTCTCCCGGCGACCCTGGTGCACGGTAACCCTACAAGAATGGCTAAGGATTCCCTACTGGCCAAGACCGCACCGAGACATTCAATGCCGGCTATCTTCAGAGTTGGAACAATTTTGATGGTAAAATAATCACGGAGGAGTAAGGCAACCCCTCCACCCCGTCCCGCACTCCAAGGCTGTTGAAATATCTGGAAACCTGGAGGTGTCAGTTCATGTGAGGGTAATGTTATCTCCCTCACGAATCCAGGTC